TTCCTCAGTTGCATCAGCCACATTTCAAGTGCCTAGTGGCCACATGTGGCTAGTGGTCACCACACTGGACAGTGCAGATGCGTAAGAATTCCATCACTGTAGCAAGCTCTCTCAGTCTAAGTAAATAAACTGAGTCTCACAGAAGATACATCATTGGCTTAATGGCAAAAATCAAACTTAAGTTCAGGTCTTCATTGTTCAGTTTTTCTGTGCACTACTTTGCCAGAGAGAGCTTTTAACACAGTAGCGCTGAACACTTACTTCCCCAAAATGGGGAGTTAGACTCTTACGTTAGCAGTGTGACACAGATGCATTCAGGGGCCATTTAGTTTTGCAAATCTTGGTTAAAAACCATAAAGGTTTTACTGTTGTCAGTTGGGTTTTATTGGTTTCTTTCACTGGTTGGTTAGTGTGTTTAACATGACCCCAGTGTGGTGGCTGTTGACTCTAAGACCTTCAAAGAAACAATTAATTTAAGGATCAAAACTCCTCCTGGTGAGCCGGTGCACTCTAACAAGCATGATGCCGCAGCCCTGCAGCAGCCACGGCTGATAGGAACAAAGAAAAGCTCCTGTCTTACCTCTCCCTGGTACGTGTGTTCCCTGTATAGCCACGTCTGACACCCATGGTCACCACAGAGCTAGAACATTCAGACCTCTCACCTGCCCTCCAGGTTAGTCACTCTGTTTTTCTGTCCCAGCGGGACTCAGCAGGGCCATATTGCTTGAAACCCTTCTTAGACGCATCCTCCTTCTCGTACTAATTTTAAAGTGACCTGAGGGTATTTGATGATAGTCCAATTCTTTGTTAGAGTGCTACATCCCATGAGGGCCGTCATCATGACTGGCATCGTTGGCCTCTTGTTGCTGAGAAAGTTCCAGTTTGACAAAGTATCTCATAGAAAGATGCGGGTCCCTAACCCACTGCTGCTTGCCTACTAGAATAGTGTTCAGTAACCATCACCTTCTTCTGAGGCAGGACAACTAACCCTATTAAGAGACAAACCTTTGCTTCATCTGCATTCATGAGCTGCCCGCATAGCAGGAACCCCTCATACTGGTTCCAGGGAACCACTGGTTCCGGGAGGTCTCGGAGGTAGAGCTTCAGCAGGGAGGCCACCGTGTGCACATCTGTATCTCTGGAAGAGAATAAGCAATGCGCTTTGAAAACTGAACTTCAGAACCCTCCTCACCTCCTCATTGGTGATCTATTGAATATAATCCCAGTTTCCAAATGGGGTTTTATAGAGGAGTAGAGTCCGATACAGGTGTAACAATCAAAAGATTTTTGCTACTCCCCCTTCTGGAATCATAACCCCTAATACCTTTTCCTTTATCTTTTCTAACTGCCTCAAAGATAAGTTCAGGGTCGACTTTTTCCATTAAACCTATTAAACTATTCTAGTCTTCATTGCTTTCTTCTTTCTCCTAGTCACTCAGTACAACACAATTTAGCGTTCTCTACTTAGTCTCTAATTTTTCATGTGATAACTCCTTGATACCTATGGTCCACTGATCTCTCTCTAATCTCTCAGAGAGCTTAAAATAGTTCTGGGATTCATTCGTATATTTTCACAATCATTTATTCAACTAACAAGGGTTGAGAGAACCTATTAGGTGCGAGATACTATGTCAGGCACTGGAATTGCAGCAGGGAACCTGAGGGACACACAGGACTCCTGTCCTTATGGAGTGACAGAGCTGTGCAGACTCATGTTTTCAAGTCATTGCAATTCCACCTGGTTACTGTGATGACAAGGGAAGTCCAAGACCTGGGACCGCATGGAAATGTAGAAAAAGGGACACCCGATGCAGAACTGGGGAGGCCAAGGAGACTCCTCAGACAAGATCTGAAGAATGACAAGGAGTCACAGCCCGAGGCTGGCAGCATGTGACTGCC